AACCGGACAAAACTGGACGTTACTTGTTGAACTACCTGGTGAGTTCAGAAAACATGTGTCTGTAACTTTATTCCAGCTGTCGTTGTACTTTACTGTGAACAGGTTAGCATAGCGTAGCCCTGATCGATCCAAACTCCTTTCAGAAAACAGACATTTTAAAGGTTGTTGTCCTGCTGACAGACCTGACAAAGCATCAATCCATGTTTCACAAAACTGCATCATATTGTAGTTATTTCGCCATCAGTTTGATCTGTTTATTGCAATTACATCACAGCAAAATGTTTACTTTGGGTCCATATAGCTGTAGTATTCGCTTGTGTGTGAACACTCAAAATGTCCAGAGGTCAAACTCGGGCGAGTAAAACGAGGCGAATATTAAATACGCTTTCAGTGTGAACACACTTTAAAAGGAGACGTCCAGAAATGTTCCAAAACAAACAGACAGACACTGCTACTGCTAATAGCTTGAACGGTTTATTTATTTTAAAAGATAGTTGGCACTTAACTTTATTTTAATGACTTCACTGACCGGTCTTTCAGCACTAAAATGAAGACCTTAAATAGGCTTAACAAAAGCAGACCGAAGGTACTACTTTCTTAAAACGTTATTTTCAGGAATTTCAGGAATTCAGAGAAAGTCCGACCTGAAGTGAACCTCTGTCGGTCCCTCTGATTTGTTAGAAGCACGTTACATGTGTTATTTTAAATGTACAAACGCACAGAAAGGTCAGAGTTATAAGGGCCCGAGCACGAAATGTGCAAGGAGCCTATTGAAATTGAAGTAATTCTTCTTTCTGCAAATCAAGCCCATATTTGGCGACTACACGTGCTGGAAAACTCACAAAACTTCAAATTGTACCAATATACGTGTCAAAGGTTTTTTGTGCATCGGCGTGGCAAAGTCGCTCGCTAGCGCCCCCTAAAAAGCAGCACCCCCAGGCCACGCTTCAACGAAATGTGCAAATTTTTTGGGATGTCTCCAATAGGTCCAGACCTACAAAGAAGCCTCTGGGAGCGATGTCCTAATGGTTTAATGGTCAGGTCTGTGATTTACGTGGCGTGTCCGTGGCGTGGGGTTTAAAATCACTGATTAGCTTTGAAAGAGGAAGTTGTTGTAACTTCAGTGTCATGCTCATATCTGTACATGTAAGAATAGAGTCCTGCCTTGAATACATTGGGCTGCCGTAATCAGCGTGAAATATTGTCGACGTGTCGTTACAGAGTGGCTGTTTAAGGGAGGGAGAGCAATATCCTTATTAAGAAGTATCGTTTCCACCGTCTGCCATGACCGGACTTCTCACGAAGAAGAACCATTTATGCGGGAAGCCGAAGAGGCTAACGTTGGGTTGTACGCCATTTCATCACTAAATACAGGTTTGAGAAGTTTTGAAGCGAGACTGTGTAGAACTTGAATACTGTCAGTTGATGGCAAATTGAAAACGTGCTTTAACGTTTTTGGGTTTTAGAAGCTTCACAAGCGCCCGTGAGGTTAGCGGTGCCAGCCAGCCGGTGCCAGTCACGCCAACAGAGCGCCCTGTGGCCGGTACTATGAAAGGAGGGCAACCTCCTCAGAGTTAACTCGGGGTTATCAGGCAAACTCAGTGTAACAAACTGACCGCCTACACTGGAGTTAAACTACGAAGGTGGATCAGCTGTTGGTTAGTTGAGTCCGTGTTAACTTAATTGGACTTGGTGCGCGTTCGCATAAAAGCGGCGCGTTCGGCCGTGCAGGCAGAGTTTTTTCGCAACGGCGCATACTCCGTATTTCTCCAGAGGAACGCCCGTTGGTAGGGTCAGGAAATACGAATGTAAAGACAAGTTAACGGCTAAATCTAATATCGCGGCGGCCGACAGAGCCAAGGAGGCTTGTTGGCGTCGCATGGAGTGAATCTGTAGCCTGATTATCTTCAGAGGGGGAATAATCTGAGACAGAATTTAATTTCCCAGATTAATCTACAAGTAAAAACTTGAATATTCTCTGACATTATAGTCACACATTTATGAGAGAAACTTCACTTTGCAAGGCTGCAACATCACACACACGTCTGCCGTTTAGCACTGGAAAGTTATATTAAATGTGAGGAAATGCTCCTGAGTTTAGCCCCCCATCACCATCACGCACCTCAGAGACTTTGCCTTGGATCGGCCGTATTCAAAAGAAAACACCAGAGTGATTTTCGATTTTTTTATGACATTCATTTCAGGGAATTTCAGATTTTCCTTCTTGTAAATTTCACACTTTAATCTAGGATGTTTTTCCTCATCTAAATATGTGAAACCACTTGGGAGAATTCAATTACAGCCTGCAGACGGGCTCCATCTAAGAAACTGTCCCGTTAATTAGGATTCCTCTCTAAATCCCAGCTCGCTGTCTGAACGTGATGCTGTTGTTCCTCAGGGAAACAAATCAGGATGAAATCTAAACAGATTTTATGTATTAATATCCTACTTCTCATCAGTAACACCGAGTACAGATGAGGTGTGGAGTCCACGTGCAGGGGAACCTCGAGTTCACCACCAACAAAACCCGCTCGGAGCAGTTTAGAGATGCGGCGTAAATTGCCATGGCAACAGACCCCGGGTAACACCTGTCCACCTTTCGTAGTGCGGGTTAACCCGGAAGTTACACCTGAAGTTACCCGGTTACCCCACTTCACAGTACAGGCCACGGGTCCCAGTTACTCTGACCAATGCAGCAGCAACTGTAAGTAGTTTTAATGTTCGTGCCGCTGTTATTCTGTCTGAACGGTTTCACATTTTAAAGTCAGTCAAGAAACATCTGGCTCGTGATGCAGTCTGAAGAACATTCCCCACTTATAAAACCTTTTGGAAAAATAAACTAGAGAACTGGTATGAAAGGGGGCCGTTTCTTTTCCTTCCTTCCTTCTGCAAAGTAACCAAACATACTCGAAAACTCACCAAACTTTGCACATAATTCGGTGCGGCGTGACAAAATGGCTCGCTAGCGCCCCCTAAAGAGCAGCCCCCGGACAAAGTATCACCAGTGTACAGAATTTCTGTCTACATGTACAAAAAAGCCTCTTGGAGCGATGTCTGACACCCAACAGCCAACAGGAAGTCGCCCATTTTGGATTTAATAGTCATTTTTGGTGATTTTAACAACTTTGTACGACTTTTAATCGTCAATGGGTTTAGACTGCACAGCGAAAATTTGAAGTCGATCGGACTAATTCCCCACGAGGAGTTTGTTAAAGTACAAACGGTTATTATCAGTTGACCACTGTCAAAAATCGACGATTCGCCATGAAACAGGAAGTTGTTGTAACTTCAGTGTACGTGCTCACATCTGCACCAAACTTTATGTGCTTGATAACAGTCCCGCCCGAACACGTCTACATGTTCAGTTAGTCGTAGTGCGAAGTGCTATGGAGTGCCACAAAGGGGACACAGGAAGTGATGATTAACACGTTTGTGCAGCGTCCAAACCGCGTGACACAGCCGCACCGGCAGAGCTCCAGTATCTGCAAGGCGGCCTCCTCACACCTCGACGCGCTACACGTGCGAGGGCCCGCCCAACGCTGCTTGCAGCTTTAATTTGCTTTTATTTTCTATAGTTCCAAAGCAAAAATCTTTGTTATAAAGTTAAAAGCTACTTGGCAATAAATCAGATTGTGAGCTTATTGTTTTGGTGATAAAGCCTGGCTGTTATCTTGGAGCAGCACCTGCACAGTTCTTTGCGTTGGTGGTTTTGAGATCACATGGACGAGAACGCTCTTTCAGTTGTGTTAGCAAACAAGTGCAATAGTAAATGTGCAGAGGTATCCTGCGTCGGCTTCCCAAGCCAAAATTGTCACAGCGCCACCTACTGGCAACAGCAAATAAGTATAATGCTGTGATGAACTACTCCTAGCAGGTTGGCCATATCCACTTCCTATCTCAGACAACCCTCAAGACACTGATATGTTTTGTTTCACGCCTTACTACAAACTGTAAGTAAGCGCTGTTTTATGATCATAATCTCATTCAACATTCTCAGTGTGGCCTACACTTCACATACTAGGACATAAAGTGTAATTAACAGGTGCTCCCTAGCGCCACTTAGGAGACACAGGACGTGACGTTTAACTCCTTCGTGAGGTGTAAATCAAATCATCAGGTGTAACTCAAAGTGCTTTTACACCACATCTGCATTCACCATTCACACACATTCATACACCGGCGGAACAGCCGCCAGGGGCAATTTGGGGTTTAGTATTGTGCCCAAGGACATTTCGACACGCAGCCTGGGGGAGCCAGGATTGAACCGCCGACCTTCCGATTAACGGCCAACCCGCTCTATCTCGACGAAGCAACAGACACACGCGTGCGCGCACACACAAAAACTTTTTTTATAGTACTGCTTCTTAAGCACCTGACGTGGAGAAATAAATGCTTTGCAGTGTTCCCTGATGCCTGCTACCATCGAAATGTTACAGCTGAAGACAAAGCGCATAACAATTCTGAGCCGTGTCGACGACCTCCCCTTAATACCCAACAGGAAGCAAGGGCCAGTACAACGCTGGTCGCAGCTTTAAATTTTCTTACATTTCCACGACGCATTGAGATCAAATGACAGGAAATGAACTGGTAATGTCCAGATCCACATGCACGGCTGTCTCTGTCATCTCTAACTCCACTATCTTCCGTCAGATCCCACCTCCCTTCTTCCTGCAGGCATATAAAGCGATAAGGATAAGATCCTGCACGCCGGTTGGATTGATCGACCAATCCACTAACAGGAATCGAACCCGGGATGGGTGAGATTTTTGCTTTTTATTTTACCTTTTGTTAAAAAAAAAATATATACTAAAAACATTTAACATCTGCGTTTGTGTTTAAGCAAGATTGCTGAATTGCGAGTGTCAGCTAGCAGCTTTAGTTTGCAGACGGACGCCGTTTCCTCTGAAGTCACGGCACCAATCTGTCACAAATCAGCTTGTAAACAAAGAACAGGTAAGGTGGCACGATGACAACTGTTTAAAATCATGTTACACTAAATATTGGTTTAAAACATTTTATTACAAAGCTAAATTAACTTAGAAGCTTCTGCCAACAAACAGTTCAAAACAATCACAGAAAGGCCTGTAGACATTCGGTGCCGTCACTGCAGCAGTAAAAACGGTGATAAGCTTTTTTATTTTCTCTGAATTAACTCGAGAGATATGAAACTTGTCTTTGCAAACATTGTGCCACAAGATGTGACATATTTGATTATGTGGTATTCAGAAACAACATATTAGTGGCCAATGCCCCAAAAATTAAAATGAATGGACTTGAGATGTCTGTCATACATTCATAGCCAATTCAACTTCAACCCGTTACTTTGACACCTGTCAGCCAGCCAAAAACAAGCATTTTCATTTACACTGGTGTAAATTCATGTTAGTGTGTGTTTAATTTACACCGTAAGGCTGGCCATGCTAAACATGTACCCGCTCCCGCCGGTATAAAGTGCTCTGGAAAAGAAGCTCCACTGAATGCTGGATGTGATGCGAAGTAAGTGAGCGATCATTGGTGGTCTGCTCCTCACAGACCTGTAGACGACTCTGTCGGGGGAGAAGTCACAGCGCTGACTCTCCGGGTTCATCAGTTTCATGGTTACGATCGCAGAGTCAGATGTCTGGAACCAGCGGACCTGAGGGTGGAAACTGAAACACAACCAGAGGATAAAACTTAAAATCCACTTCAAATTAAACACGCTGGTTTTGTTTCAGAGACACCAAACAACTGTAGCTCGTATGAAGAGTACACCATGAAGAATTAAGTACATGTAACTAAAATTATTTAAGTACAGAAGTTGTTCTTTTATTATCCAGCCACGGTACCTTTTCTGGAGTCAGGGCAGCCTGCTTCATTAGTGCTGATGACCTGCTGGCTGTTGCTTTCAGCGTCACCTGAACACACACAGCATTTCAATACACTTTCTGTGAGTTAGCAGCGGAGACTAATCGCGATGTTTGTCTCAGGTTCAGGAAACAAAAGTCTGTTTTAGCATGTAATTCTCCTGAATTCTCCTGAAAAGTTTCCACTCTGCCTCACTCTCACAATGGCAGTTATTTACTAAATTTAATAAATTCTAATGTACCAGTATGTTTTCTTGAGCCACGTGGCGTGAATACCAAAATGACCCCAGTTTAATCTAATGCTTAATGTTCCCTGACAGCGTCAGTGATAGAAACAGTGCAGCTCTTCATGTTTAGTGATCTACCTGACCAGCATGACGCGTCTGTGCATCTCTCTACAACTCTTATTGAAGCTTGAACTGTAATTAGGGAATATCATTTTTACCATTTTCACAGGGGGTGGGAAGTTCTCCTCCATCTCTGTTCCTGTGGATCATAAAGCTTCTGTTCAGTTCCCCTTTTAGACCAAAAAAACCTAGTGACACATTTCCTCTTCTTTCTCTTCTACCTTTGTGTGTTTATGTGCGTTGGTCTTCTGTGACTGAACGCTCTTGTTGTGATGTTTATTTATTCAGAAAGAACATATAAAGCTTCACTAACACGGCGGTCCAGGCCTGTTGGGTTCTAAAGCGTTGACATGTTTCTCTCTTTTTTACTTATGGACTGATTAACATTTACAACACACAACTACTAACGTCGACGCTGAAAAGAGGAGATGGCTCAATTTCAAAACATTGCAGAAAATATTTCATAAATTTTGAATGGAACGAGTTGTGGTCAGATACGGTGAGTTTGTAGGGAAATCTCTACGTTATGAGGACAGATGCAGGTGTGTTTGTATGTGATGTAATTCCCGCCTAAGACTTTTGCTCTGTCCAAAATCTATGAAGCCTGAATAAAGACCAATCTACCCAAGACACCCACCTCATCATCTGCTGAGCTGACTTCGGATCAGCAGCGTGGGCGTCTTCCTGTCCAATCGCTGCTCGAAGGGCCGGCAGGGATTTCTGATCACACACTGGATGCAGGTGGGGTTCAGCTGCTGGTGGTGATGGGACCGGGGACCGGATCACTAAAGATACTGGACCAAGTGGCTCACATGGTTCGAGGGGAGGAAGGTCAGCGAGTCCGCTGTCCTCTGCTGACCTCAAGACTTGAGCCAGAACGTCCTCCTCAGCTTTGATCCTGACCTCCAGAGACACCGGACCATCGGCCGTCCTACAAACAACAAAGTGCCGCTTCAGTCCTCATAGTGTAGGTGGCCAACATATTCTGACCATCCGGTCCAGTTCTAGGACACTTTAGCGTTTCCCTACCTAGAAATGTGACCCGCCTCCTCACCGCTGCCGGATTTGGTCTCCTGGTGGAGCGCCCTCAGCAGGTCCAGATGCTCCGGGTTGCTGACTCCCATCCCAGTGTTCAGGATCTCTGAACGTACCTTGTATTCATTGATCACAGTTTTCACGCCTGGCAACTGGGTCACACGGACCTTTGGTATAAAAAAAAATAAAAATCTGATTGACATTTGCTGACAAAATCATTTTGATCTACTTTGGACTGTTGGAGAAACGTAGGAAGTCTACGGTCCCCAGGAAACCTTGTGATAGTCCATCAGTAACTCACGGACTGATCCAGGAGGTGACAGACGGGTAAAAACTTACCATGGGATCAACAAAAATGGTGTTTCCCAGACTGAAAACTGCTCTGGCTCGGTGCTGCAGACCTCGGATCTTCTGGCTGATCGCTCTGGTGACCTGCGAGCCAGAAAATGTCCAATCACACGACTGTTTGTTTGATGCTAGGTGTCTGCAGGTTTAATCAATTTAAACTCAAGACTGAGAACAGTTTTAATGCCAGGTACATTTAGATTTAGGACCTTTTTTCCACCACAATTGAGTACTACGGATAAAATTAAATTTCATATTGTGTTGTTTATGTATACTGTGAGAAATCGTTAACTGAAATTACCATCGCCTCCACCAAGTTACAGTTTACGTCCACGTTTGTCCCGACACATAATAAATGCAGTGACACACAAGCAAACTGAGAAGGGATGAAAAAGGCGATATGTTTGCACCTTTGCATTTACTTTAATTACTATTCAGTGTTTTGTCCTAAGACAGAGTTGTGTTAGCGGAGGTGAAGCATGATTATTTCTTTTGCGTGCTGGCAGAGTGGGTAGAAAGAAAATGTTTTGTTTTCCAATAAAGAAATATGCAATTACACATAATTTGACCATTATTACCATATCTGTGAACAGAAAGTAGAAAATCTAGTGCAGATTATAAATAAATACCCATAAAAAGCTAAACTTGCTAAAGACCTGAGCTGTTTTGTGCCTCACCTCTTAAGCCTTATAATGGCAGGAAAATCCTCTTTATATGACCTCAGAATCATTTTAATGATTTACTGCTTTTTATATTTGTAGAAATGAACATGGGCAACATGAGAAAGCTCCGCTGGACATGTAAGAGTTTGCAGCAGTGAGGTAATACTTTACTCTATTTTCTTACTCTTGATGTGTCACTTTGCACTTTACTGAGCATTCGACTAGAATCAGAAGGCCGGCTGAGCTCAAACAACTGGGCATTTCATTTGTGCATTAAAATCCAAAAGAACAGGCTCCTCGTTAGCTTAAAGGTGACTAGTTGGCATCCCTTATTTGCTTTCCTAACCTCAGTTCAGTTCAGTGTGTAACTGTCATAATTACAACATCAATCAATATTGCAATAAAGCGCGAGTGTCCTTCACAGATTTGCAACATTTGCCTCTTATGTTTAAGATATTAAGGCTAAACGAAATAGCAAAATCTGTGATGGTTGACAAATTTCCTCGTGGCAATTATTCACCCAAACTTATTCTTCTTTGAGCAGCAGTAAAATATTTTACCTCAGACAGTGACGAAGTTTAACATTCATAACTTTCTCAGCTGCAGGGTTTTTAGGATTTGAACATGGTCACTGTAAGTGGGCTTTCAAGACAAATGTCTGTATTTTCTGACCATTCAAGTTATGTTCGTTTGTGTATTTGAAAGCAAGGTGAGGAGGTGAGCAGGAAACCTTGGGGTGCCAGTCAATCTCTCCGTCGACTGGTTTGACCCTGCAGACGACGATCTCCACGGCCTGGCCGGGCAGAGAGTGAAACTGCTCTGGGAGCTGGAGGATCTGATGGGACTTGACCTCCTCCTCCTTTCCCACGTCAATAAACCGAACATATACGCTGAAAAACAGCCGGTCACCTCTGTCTGGGACAGACAGGATCTTCACCCTGCCGCAGGAAGCACACAGTCACTTTACATACAGATGAAACTTGAAGAATTAGCATATCGTGCAAAAGTTCATTTATTTCAGTAATTCAACTTAAAAGGTGAAACTAATATATTATATAGACTCATTACATGCAAAGTGAGATATTTCAAGCCTTTATTTGATATAATTTTGATGTTTATGGCACAGCTTATGAAAACCCCAAATTCAAAATCTCTGAAAATTTGAATATTGTGAAAAGGTTCAGTATTGTAGGCTCAAAGTGTCACACTCTAATCAGCTAATTAACCCAAAACACCTGCAAAGGGTTCCTGAGCCTTTAACTGGTCTCTCAGTCTGGTTCAGTGGAAGAAGACTGCTGACCTGACAGTTGTGCAGAAAACCATCATTGACATCCTCCACAAGGAGGGAAAGCCTCAAAGGGTAATTGCAAAAGAAGTTGGATGTTCTCAAAGTGCTGCATCAAGGCACATTAATAGAAAGTTAAGTGGAAGAAAAAGGTGCACAAGCAGCAGGGATGACCGGAGCCTGGAGAGGATTGTCAGGAAAAGGCCGTTCAAATTATTAATAAAATGCTTCGACACAAATTCTTTGCATCGATGCTTCGTTTAATCCATGTAACTATACAGCACAGTGTTTCGCACGGACATTTATTACTGTCGCACATCGCGCTTACGCTGTGAACACGTCAGGATTTTAATGTAGCCGTTTGCAAAGTGGAGGACGAGAGAGAAAATGGCGAGGGACAAAGAAGAAAGTGTCCAAAGTCTGTTATTTCATGCTAAAGAAAACAACAACTGTGTCACAGTCCGTCCACCGTGAAACAAAACTTATGTCGCCTTGGCAACAGCACGACGGCAGCTGAACAAAAAGGTGTTCTGCCAGCGGACCAGAGACAAGGTAACAGCAACTTTAGCATTTAACTGAAATCATGACTGATTGTTGAGTTGAAGCCAAAGTAAGCCGCAGTCCTCAGCTGAAAATGTGACCACGTGCGTTTGTTGTTCTCCTTTTTGGGCCGTGAGTTGTGACCTCACAGTCAGGAGTTAACTGGGTGTCGGGAGCTGCAGCTTTTAACTCCCCTCCAGCTCTCTGTAGTTCAGACCATCCCTGCTAGCTGCGTGTGCTCATCATCCTTTCATCCATATTCGTCTTTATAACTGTTATCTTTATAATAACAAACAGCTGTTTCGTGTGCGCTCATTTCCTGTTTCACGTGCGTTTTCTTGACAAAACGTGGTTTGGAGACCAGCGTCTGGTGACAGCTGCTGTCAGTTCCTGTAGTGTGTCCGTGTCCTTGTCACCGATCAGTCACATAGCGACACACGACTTCAAGACTGCCGTGATGACGGCAGGTTGTGTGAACTGCACGGCCATCGGCCGACGCTGAAAGTCGTGTATTCTGCAGGAGCCTTTAATAAGCACGGGGGTGATGTGTGTGTTTGTAAAGCAGCTGTCTAGTAGTTGGTCTGATGTTTGCTGTATGACACAGTATGAATTTACGAAAGGACTAATAAATATCTATCACCTATAAACGTGCACAGCTGATCCCGTTACGGGGGGCGGCGCCGCCGGCGGCAAGCAAAAGTACTTCGTAATCGACACATCGATGACATAATCTATTGACGGTTCGAATACTAAAAATCATCGTTAGCTGCAGTCCTAATTCAAATGTGTGGGGGAGCTTCACAAGGAGCGGACTGAGGCTGGAGTTACTGCATCAAGAGCCACCACACAGACGACCACAGACGGGTCCTGGACATGGTCTTCAAATGTCGTATTCGTCTTGTCAAGCCGCTCCTGAACGTCGTCAGAAGCGTCTTACCTGAGCTAAAGAAAAAAAGAACTGGTCTGTTTCTCAGTGGTCCAAAGTCCTCTTTTCTGAGGAGAGCAAATGTTGCATCACATTTGGAAACCAAGGTCCCAGAGTCTGGAGGAAGAACAGAGAGGCACACAATCCAAGAGGCTTGAAGTCCAGTGTGAAGTTTCCACAGCCCTTGTTGGTTTGAGGAGCCATGTCCTCTGCTGGTGGTCCACTGCGCTTTATTAAGTCCAGAGTCAGCGCAGCCGTCTACCAGGACATTTTAGAGCACTTTGTGCTTCCTTCAGCAGACGAGCTTTATAAGATGCTGACTTCATTTTCCAACAGGACTTGGCACCTTCCCACAATGCCAAAAGTACCAAAACCTGGTTCAATGACCATGGGATTACTGGCCTGACCTGAACTGCCAAGAGAAAGATGAAAGACATGAGAGCGAACAATGCAGAAGAGCTGAAGGCCGCTATTGAAGCATCCTGGTCTTCCATAACACCATAGCTGATAGCATCCATGACACGCCGCACTGAGGCAGTACTTCATGCAAAAGTACTGGGTACATATGCATGATTATACTTTTCAGAGGGCTGACATTTCTGTATTTAAAGTCTTTTTTTTTTTTTTGATTTCATGTAATATTCTAATTTCCTGAGATTTTTAATTTGGGGTTTTCATAAACTGCACGCAATAATCATCGAAATTATATCAAATAAAGGCTTGAAATATCTCACTTTGCATGTAATGAGTCTATATAATATATTAGTTTCACCTTTTAAGTTGAATTACTGAAATAAATGAACTTTTGCACGATATGCTAATTGTTTGAGTTTCACTGCACATTTATCTGCGATCCAGACAGACTTGTTCTGATGTCAGTTGGGCTAAAGTTTATAAACCAGTATAATCATTTCATTCCTTCTTTAAAAGGTAAAATTACAAGGGTTTCTCAAGGTCACGTTAGGTTTGTCTGCTGAGCAAGCTAAGTTAGCTAAAGGCGACTGCCTCCGTCTCTCCTGTCTGCTGGGCTGACTGCAGCAACTCTGGTCTAAGGTCGAGATCATCTTCATTTTGTTTCAGGCACACTGACTCTTTTTAGAAAGTGTTGCTTGTGACTGCTAAATAACCAGCAGCCACATTTAGCAAGGACACCAAGACATAATAAAACAGCATTTGGGCTTCAAATGTCCTGAAAAATGGGCGTTTCAAGCCTGAAACTGTCCCCCGGTGTGATCACCCCCTAAAACTGTATTTAGATTTCATGTCCGACCTGTGGAAGACGTCATCCTCCTGCACGGCGTACAGGCCTCCCTCCAGCAGCTCCTTGGCTCCAGGTTTCTTGTCGGCAAAGTAAGACGTCATTTCAGACGCCATGCTCGTGAAACCTCCGTCCTCCTTCTTGACAATCCGTCCGTAGAACATCGACGCCGTCTTAATGTAGAGAGGCAAAACCTGGGAGCATCAGACAACACGGCTGTTTCCTCATTTCATCATGGTGTATTAATGGACTACACAATTATTTTCTTATTTAAATAAACAATTTGTGACTAACTAGAAAATTAAGAATGTGATTTCAAACTCCGATACAACATGAGCAGAGAAAAAAGTAGGCAGATGTTTGTATTTTTTTATGACCAATAAATAGGTGTCCAAGCAGTGAAGTTACTGTTTATATTCTCATTACTCTTACTTTTTCTGTTGGACCAAAACACGCCAAAATTGGTAGGTGAGTTGCAAATTCCACCAGCCCTCATTGAACTCAAGGCGCTGTAACTATCAAGTTTATATTTTTGCAGTTATCTCTCAGGTCATCTGCTTCTGAAAGTGTCTGCTTGGACCCCGATCATTGCCGCTATGTTTAATTACTGTTTCCTGTCTGATGGCCACAGAACGGAAAGTGGAGGAACGGACTAAAGCAGTCACCTCTACGACTCCGGACGCAGGAAGCACAGACTGATCCAGGTGGGAAAGCGGTCTGTGACGCTCAGGACACACGCTGCGGTATCTGTAAAAGGAAACACATTGTTAGGGCTGCACCAGTGTCATTTTTAACAGTGATTAATTAACAGTGAATAACTGAAGATTCGATTGTGGGGGGTGGGGCGGTGGTCCGCTCCAAAGCCGCGTTAAGCTAATTGTTTAGAAGGCTGTAATTTCAGGATTATTCAACCTAACCTCCTCGAGAGGTGGTTAGGTTCACGGCATCAGTTGCGGAGTTGCTGCTCTAGGGTTTAGCTGTTCTCGGTCTCTGAAACAGAAACCCAGAGTTTCCCTCATTTCAGGCTCAACATACTCAGAGTTTTCTGAAACGGGGCCCAGTTTCTCAGCTGACCTGCAGACTCCGAAACTCTTCAGGTAGCTGCACAGAGGCCTGTCTATCTTCTGCTCCTCCCGGGCCACGTGGATGCCCTCGGCAAAGGACAGCAGCTCAGGGGGCAACGGGGACTTGGTTCGCACCAGGTATCGCAGAAGCCCAATTACATGGCAGGTGTTCCTCTCCGATATCAGCAGCACAGACCTGGCGGGATGAGGGCAGCTCCCCATGTGATCCTGGAGGGATTTCTTGGAAAAGAAATCGCAGGAATCAAAAAAATGTCATCCTGGTCACCATTTAGCTGCAAACGTGGATACTGGAACAATGTATTTACAGAAGATTTTAATCTGTTCTTACTCGCGCTGAAAGGTTTCTAAAGTTGTCGGCCATGCAGAACAGTCGGCTGCCGAATATTTTGGGCGAAGTGGGGAAGTCGTAGTGGACGACACAGTTCGCGTCTGTGATTCCCAGACACTGCAGACACTCGTTGGTGGTCACTACAGGTCAAAGCAGCACAATTCATATTTAGGAAGGAAATTGAGCAAATTGCTCTAAATGGCCTCAATGTTCTCCATGTTAGCAGGTTCCAGAATAAATTCACTTACCCAGAAGAACATGAGTGCCGCGGCCGATGTCTTTCCTCCACTGCTGGATGACAAAGTCAAACTCGCGTGTTAACCCCTCGTGGGTCTTGAGGCAGAAGCCTGATTTGGTGCTCATGACCTGGAGATAAAGGACACTGGTCAACTTCACGGAAAAATCCCCTTTGGGTTCTTTTCCACAGCGAGATGTTGACGTGGTAACAACAGAGGAGTTTTCCCACGTGGAGAACGTCACTCCTCTCCTGTTTCTGCATTACACTACTGCTATTTGTTAGTATACCAATTTACCAAAACAGACAAACTCTTTATTATAGTAGACAGAAAGGATGCGGATCGAGACCCGGTTGTAACTTTATGGCAGCAGAGTGAGAGGCGGCGCCGTTGCGGTGGAACACAGTGAGCGTGAAGTTAGCTCCTGTAAGTACGTGCAATAAAACCTTAACAAGTAAAAAGACAAAACTTTATCATCCACCTGTCTGTAATGTAACGTTAAACAAGTAGAAAGGTTTCATTTAATCATCTCTCAATATATAACGTTATCGCACATTGAATATTTTCCTCACACCCTGCAGGCCGGCCTCATGCCCGTTGGATCTGGTCTCACCAAATAACCGTCACTAAATAATAGTAAAGTATCGAGTATCACACACACACCTACAGCCCTGTCACAGAGACAATACAGGTGAAACTTTAAAATTCAACAAAAGGACTACTGTATGAAACACTGTTGTGAGCTTGGCTGCTTAGTGTGTATTGAATTGTTCTGATTGTTGGTTGTGTTGTTTTTATTTTCTTATCTCTCTATTATTAGGAATGTGTTTAGATTATATTTTTTAACTGGATTATTTATTTCTTATTGTCCTTTTAAATGCACTACAAAAGTAGCTGATGAGAAACAACTTTTCGTTTCTCTGCATATGGAAATACCAGATGAAATGACAATAAAGTTTATCTATATAATCGAAAGTGGTATCGATAATGAATCGGATCGTTAAGCAGTCTCAATGAGGGTATCAATATCAATAAAAATGAACGATCCCCAACCCTAGCAGATAGTGTACTGAACCTTAGCACAGCTGAGCGTACTTCACAGTAGGATGACACTCATATGTAGGTTTGTTAGAGTGTTTGGCTGAAATCCTGAAGGTAAGACACAAAGCACTGGACAGAACAGTGTAAATGAAGCCGTCATTTCACCTTGAACACGTCTTCAACTTCCTGAGCGGAGCTGGCTACGATCAGCGTCTTCTGGCCGACATCGGGTTTGAAATCCAGTGCACCCAACAGTATGTTGATCTTACTGGTCTCCAGTGTCATGAGGGTGATCTGTGGCAACACAAAGATTTCCATAAACTGAAAATCTTATCCAACATCAGCTGAGCTGAGAGTGAAACAGAGGGCTTTCCTCTTTGATAAAGCTTATAGTTAGGGCTGGCTCAGGTGAGTCCTGAACCATCCCTTAGTTATGCTGCTATAGGCCTAGACTGCCGGGGGATTTCCCATGATGCACTGAGCTCCTCTCTCCTCTACTTTCTCTCCCTCTGTACGCAACCTCATCCCATTATTGCATGTTACTAACACAACTTCTCCCCTTTCTGGTAGTCTTGTGCTTTCTCGTCTCTCTCCTCTCTCCTCCTATCACTTCCTGCAGGTTTTCTGGCTCTGGAGCTGTGGAGTCTGGATCTGTGGTTGCGGGTCACCTGCTGCTACAGTTATTATTAGGAGTCCTATTAGTATCATTAATATAATTATCAGTACTATTCATTTTCTGTACCACTACAAGTTTTACTGTTTGTATTTCTGTGCAGAGATCGTGTTGGCTGTGAATTGAACACTTACTAAATATAAAAAAAAGTGTACAATGACAACATAAAGTTGTAATTATCGATGACTCATCGACACTGACCTGTTGAACGTTGCCATAGAGAGCGGCTTCCTCAGGCAGAGTGATGACAATGCAGGGGTATAGCATGTGATTGGCTAACAAACCCTCCAGATGACCGGTCCATCTTTTCGCCACAGCGACGAGCTGCTTAGGACTGGAACCGTTCTGGGTGGAGGTCACCTTGTGGAAATGCTGCAAGATGGTCCCCATCTAACAGGAGAACAGTCGTGGTTAAAGAACGGTTTGAACAGTTTTACCTGTGGCGACTCGACATGCGAGTGCTTAGGGTGCAAACGCCCTGAGCAGCGAGTCCCCGTATCGACTCCCAGCTGGCTGGACCGTTCACTGCATGTCAGTCCCCTGCTGTCTTTCTGTCTCTTATTATTCATGAAATAACTGTGGTGTTACTGAAAACAAGAAACAAACCTTCATTTCTTTATGTTGAAACTTCTAGTTCTAAAATTTTGCTGAAATTTGTGTTTGCAGAAGAAATGCATGAAAATAAAACTGTGAATCAATCAGTTGTAGAGAATTAAATTTCCTTTCAAACCAGAGCGTGGACCTCTGCAGATGGATGTGTGCAGTATTTACACTGTCCCAAACTAAAAAGCAAGAGCAGTTTGTGTTTCAGGGAGTGTTTTCTATGGAAACCGCATCGCAGTTAGTTCCAGGTGGACTGTTAGGTGCTACTGTAGCTCTGCAGCGGTTGAGTGTGAACGATGAGCAGTCACCTCGTCTGGAGCGAGAGCGAACAGCTGGTCAGCCTCGTCCAGCACCAGGTGGTGCAGACGCAGGAACAGGAAGCGATGGCTGGACAGCAGACGGACGAAGCTGAACGGAGTGGACACCATCAACAGGCCTTGTAAAAAATAAAAATGGGACAGATTATATAACGACTTTAGTTTGAGATGATCAATGCATTCAGTGATTTACTACAATAACTGTAATTAGCTGACCGTTAGCAGACTTAGATTATGCTTTACTCACAGTTTTTGGGGATCCTGACGGCCTTGCTTCGTCTTTGCCGACACCTAGGAGCACGATGAGAGGGTGCAGGGTTGTGTTGACCTTGAGCTCCTCCAGCTGGTCATACACCGCCTGGACCTTCTCCCAGCCTGGACACAGCAGCACGGCTATGGGCTGAACACACATCCACGTAGAAAGAGATCCAAAAGAGCACATACTTACAATAACTAAATCAAATCAGATGGTGCTGCTGTATGAAGGGGGGGTGTTGCTGTACTCACCCCTGCGCTGGTTGAAGAGATGAAGATGGAGTTGAGCAGGATGTGGGTGAGGAGCGGGGGGAGGTAGCTGCGTGGCTGGTCAGCGTCATGAGAGATGATCAAAGTGCTGCATCCTCGAGCCACAGCTGGCCAGCTGTAACCGTCAGCTGGAGACAGAGCGCTGTACTGCTTCCTCCGTAACACCTGGGAGACAGAACAGGTAGCTTCTTTTATAAAAAACAATCCAGCTTAAGTTAGAAAACCTCATGGCAAAAATAATCTCAGGGCTGTTTGACAGATAAATGAATCAGGAGTTTATACTGTACATACAAACTGTATAGAGTACTGTGTGTTCAGTTTCCAGAGGCCTCAGGTTAAAGGTTCCCAACCACATTATAAACAAAAAGAAACTATCCCTTTGGAAAATTGAGTTCTACAAGTAAATTAATAAAAACTGCCTCTTCAATAAAAAGGTAACACATTTAAACTGCTACAGCTGTGCAAAGGTTTCAGGCAGGTTTAGGAAAATGCAGTAAAGTAAGAATGCTTTAAAAAAAATAGACTTGTTTATAGATTTATCAATTAACAAAATCAAATCAGTATTTGTGACCACCTTTTTCCCTTCAGGTTCATTTGCAGTTTTTGGAGGAATGCAGGTAGGTTGACCCAAACACCTTGAACGACGACCCACAGTTCTTGTGTGGATTTAGGGAGCCTCAGTTGCTTCTCTCTTTACGTGATAAATGACAAATATTTACAATTTGAGCACCTGCTGCCATTTTTCTGCACCGCAGTTCCTGTGCAGAGTTGAGTCTCCCGGCCTTGTTTCAAAGGGTGGTCACGCCAAATATTGATTAGATTTTTCTTCTGTTCCACTACGGTTTGTTGCCTGCTGACCACCTTTATAAAGAATTTTCAGGTAAATTTATTAATCTGAATCTCCCGCTGAATCTGCTGTGTCTTCGCCGTCCCCGGAGTCAGAGTCCTCGTCAAAGCGGCTGTAAATCACCTGGATACTGTAATTCCCGTCATCAAACTGGCCTCCGGTCTGGCTGTGATCACTGGGAGGCTGCTGAGCCCAGATTCTGTCGCTTGCTCGACCAGCTCCGGTTCTGGTGCAGATTCTGGACTCAATCAGCTAATAGGGCCGCTAATTTTGTTACTTATTACTTACTTAACTTATTTGCATTAGTTATGTTACAGGCTTCCTGTTTACAGCGTGACTGAAAGAAGCTACAGAAATGTCCTACTAACCAATTTACACATGACTCAGAGCTTTATTAGCTGAGACATGCCCCAAAGTTTTAATGGGATGCATAAGTTATTTGTAAATCCATTACAAAGTCCTTACTGAGATCTTTGTAACTAGCAAACAACACTTGATTTACAGGAAGAAGAAACTACAAGCTAGTTTCAAACTTGTCAGGTTGCACAAATGCAGAAAGAAAAGAATAAATCGGAACAGAAGAAACATTAAGTTTTGTATTATTTATTTTCCAAACTTCTAAAGCTGGAACCCTGATATTAACAGTGAAACAGTTCTGATAACAAGGTATTTTTTGATTAAACCTGTAAGTGAAGGTCATTAAGTGAAATTATTGTGACACATTGTTTCCTGTCTTTCAGTCTCCTACGATCTCTGTTGTCTTGCTTTAGATTTGTTTTCTTATTTTAAAGTCTAATTAGCCTCAAACAAAACTCAGAGCACATTCTTGTTTACCCAGCAGAGAGAATCCGTGATGGGAGCATCATCCAGGCTGGTGCAGGGATCCACCGGGAGGACAGAGTGCACCAGAATCCCAGTCTTCCTGGGGTCCCGGGGAACAACCTGAGGACAGGAGAAACAAATGAGATTATTATTATATGGTTGTACCATCACAAAAACCAGTGTCAGCGCTGTTGTTACAGAGTTTGTAGCAACAACCGCACTTGAATTGAAGATATCGTTTGTTAGGACCAATATATCAACTAGTACTACAAAAACCCACCACGTTGTCTGCAGCATCTGGATCAGCGTTCAGAGGCTCCGGGTTCAACCACTCCAGAAGGCTGCGATAAACAGAATTTAAAATACCTTGACCATCATTAGTACTTAAACCTGCCCCAAGAAATTACTATTTTACAAGTAAAGAAACTTTGTCTCGGACACTTTTTCCCTTTTCTTTTAATGTAATACTAGATTTTCAAGTAGGATTTTATTTAGAATTACTCTTTACAGACTTTAAGACCTTTTTAAAGACCATTATGAATGAAATATATCATATCAAAAAAAGAAACGTAAAATTACCTGCAGAGTAAATAAATGGGTTGGGTGATGTCTACAATGAAACATCGGGACGGAGGATGATGAACTACGTAATTAACAAGCTGGCATGCGACAACTTCTGTGTCTTTTCAGCGACTTTATAAAACAACCTACTGCTGAAGGAAAACTCGGAGGAGCAGAAAGGAAAGGCGGCGTGTTTGCAGTGAGAGACCAGAGGTAAGGTGTGTGAGTGAGTGCAGAGAGAAGAGAAGTTGAGGCCTGTACATTTGCAAATAGTAATAAAAACAACATCTGTGGGGATTAAAACATGCTTTTAAAGGGCAGTACAACGAACATTTAAGATGATATTTGTGTGTGGGGGGTTTGGGGGAACGTCCCACAGTAAATTTATGTTTTCCAATAAAGAACGATCCAGTTCCACATAATTTTGGAACATTACCACATCTGTGAATAATAAATTGGAAAATCTAGAGCAGATTTTGAATTAACACCATAAAGTTAAACTTGCTAAAGTCGTCTTCTGGGTTTGAATTCTAACAATTAGATCTGGAAAAGCTCATGTGTTTAGTTTTGATGCTCTCCACGATGATTTTACATTCATGGTGCAGCATCAAGCCGTTTTGAGCCTCACCACCTTATAATGGCAGAAAAACAGCGTTAACAACAGAATCAGTCCAGACTGGTCATGTTTGCCTTGTCTCTTAATTTACCGCTTTATACATTTGTAGAAATTAATTAAAAGTAGGCGACAAGAGAACCACCATGCGTTGAGTGTCTTGAATCTTAACGATCGGGTGAAATTTTAGTAGCGGCGTACATTCATTAAGCAGCGACAGTTGGCTTCAAATACGCTCCGTTTTTTTCAGGCAAGAGCCGCTAAGGTTGCACTTCCCAGAGGGGAAATTTACAGACCAGACATATTTACACAAACTAACATAATGTACAAAATTTCCTTTTTAAAAACATATTTACAACGTATATTCTCAGAAGTCTGAAGTGCAACTGTGTGCATATTCAGGATGTGCAGTGTAGTATCACTTGCTAATATTGAGTGCGTTGAGTACGATGTTTAACTATAATCAACCGTGTGCTTCAGTCTCCCTGCAGAGGGGAGAAGTTGTGTATTGTGATGGCAGTGGGTAGGAATGACTTTTTGTAACGGCCCTCACAGCGTCATTCTTCTCTCCACAACTAACTCAAGGGGCTCCAGAGCAGAGACCAGCAAAGACCAGAATAAATCCTTTTTATATCCTTTTTATATCTAAAGCGCTGCGGGAGCATTTTTAATGAGCATTACAGGTAAATTAAGACCCGTTTAAAATAACACAAACTTCAGCGAATTCAAGACTTTTTAAGGCCTTAAATTTTGAATTAGAAATTTTAGACTTTTTGATGAGCCACGATCAGTTAGTGAACTCCACAGACGACCACTCCTGTCCCATCTTTGCTGATGCAACACTGAATCTCACCGTGAACAGAGCCAGTCCTCTTCACTCCTCCACGTCTTCTCGGTTGGTCCCGAATCGACTGATCTACTCGAACTGCTGAAAAATACAGACATTATGGAGACGATCAGCTCAGACACACAAAATGAACTTTCCAGCCGTTATATAGACGGTACTGTTAATCTAATCGAGCTAGATTACATTTACATCTGATAGTCACGCCGTCACATCATGCTTTACAGATACAGGTTTAATGGAAACAAGGCACCTCGTTTCTTCATCTGCCAGATATTCAACCTGACCGTTCTCACGAAGACCTTCAGCTCCACTTCTGCCACTAAGAAAATATAAACCAACCAAAGAATGCAGTTAACAAGGTGATTGTTGGGTTCACTCATCAAAAAAAAAAACTAATTTTGACCTTCGAAGTAAGAAAGCATCAGTCACTGGCCGGCTTCCTCACCTCATACTGAGCAAAGGGTCCCTGTGCGGCGTTACAGACTCACTGTTGTATGATGGGATACATCTGTGTGAAAAAACATACATAGAAAATATTTTTGCACAATTACCAGTAGTTAGTGTAAGTGATAATTCCACTGAAGACTTAAACTCCATTTGAACTGGGTTCATTTCTCTGGGGGGATTTTACTCGTGCTGCTCAGTTTTTTAAATCCTTTCCTGCATGTGTGGGTAACTTTTCACCCCCACCCAGTAATAATTACAGCTGCGATTACCTAGTTTTTAAATGTAACTGTAAAATTAAATCCTGTCCACAGAGACATCTTTGTGTTTTAACCAGGATTTGAACGAGCTCTTTGGTCTTAATTTATTTTTAATCAGCTCAGAGTGAAATATGACTTGTGTGCAAATGGAGAAAGTCAGAAAGTTTCTGCAAATGTGGAAACACAGTAACACCAACATACAGGCCTATTTGAACCCTTTGAGTTCATGTTTATTATGACCGTTTTAAATGTTATTGCGAATGCAGGGGAAGTTAACTTTTGGCTCGAGTGCATGGTGTCAGCTTCAGAAAGGGGGAAATGTCAGGGTTTGTTTAACTTTTGAACAGCTTGTAAAATGAAGCTCTCTTTTGTAAAAACGTTGTTCCGTTACTTTATATGTGGTTTGACTCAAACTCTATTCACTTATCGCACATGATAACACGTTACGTACTTTTGTCACTCAACATATTTTTCATTTCATTTAAAATCATCGAATTGGTTGTAGAAGTGTTGTAGCATATCTGTAATTTCACAGTCGATCAGAAAGAAGAGTTTAATAGAGTGCATATTTTAATTCCCCGCCTCCCCTTTAATTCTAACCCTGTCCGAATGGAGCTTTAGTCAATTCACTGAATTGTTAGCGGTGTGCTGGCAGCGTACACTTCCTGTCCAGTGCAGGTGCTGAAGGCTGCAGTTGTCTCTCCAGGGTGACGGTCTTTTAGCTCTTCATGCTGACTGACCTGGAAATAAACACACAAAAAAGCTTTTGGTTGTAAAGGTGAGATAAAGTACGAAACCCAACTACCACGTCTGTATGCACTGCAGTGGCCTCCAGGAGCAAAGACTCCTGTGGATTTAACCTATAACTCTGTGAATCTGCCCAAAACTGTCCCAGAGCTTCAATTCTTTAAAGCTGTGCAGTTTAGCTTGAGAAACACTTCCCGTTTGTACATGTACTCACGCTTGGAGCCGCCTGCTGGTAGCTGCTGCCAGGATTCAGAAACTTCAGGAGCCTGTGGGTATGGGAGGTGTTCAGTCAGTATCTACCGGTCTAGTGATCCACTAGTGATTAAATGGATCGATGTCTGGCATATTGAGAAACGGCAAAAGGCAGACATGTCATTATAAATTAAATAATCTAACAGCATTACTGGCTAGTGTTCAATATGTAGTTCTGCTGTAGAGAATGATGCAGCTGAATGACGTCACCCCCCCCCCCCAACATCAGTCAGCTGCTGAAATGTATGTTTCTATTTCATTCATTAATAAAAACACGTTACTGGCCGATAGAACACGTACACTAGATTGGACTGATTACTACATGACATCTCTCGGCACTGTACGTGACTGAGATCAACTCTCACCTGAACAGACTGAGGTCATTGGCCAGATCTGCAGCCAGAGACGAGTCTGTGTCCTCTGACGATTCACTGCACATGGGAGCAAGTCAGTTACCTTAAGTTTACATTAAATGAACCACATTTCGTATGGCATTACTCATCCTTAGCCCCTTTCTCCATTTAACAGTAAACTGATGAACTAAACCAAATGTGTCCTCATTGACACAAAACATGCTTATGACCTGAGTTAACTAAGCTGCATTTCTTAGAAACGCCATCTCTGTGCACGGATGGCGTGCGGTTTAACTCGTCTGCCATCTAAGAAAATAGTAACTAAGGAAAGAAAAATGTTCCAGTAGCTGAGGACATAACAGAACACACAGACCTACACTCAACCTCTCTGCCTACAGACAAGTCGCACCCCACCTGCACTGAAGGTATGAAGGTCCGACTCCCACAGTGAGTTGTTCTTCTTTGCTTGATGAAATGCGTTTGTATTAAACTGAGGCTTCTGACTGCAGTCGTCTCCGACTACTTGATAAAGCAAAGTGTATCTAACACTCACCTCTCTGCAGCAGCAGCAGAGTCTGAGCCATTCTTTGATCGGCTGCCTGGAGACAGTTGTTCTTCTGTGACCTTTGACCTGCATCCTTCCTCACAGGTCTTCAGCTCAGGTTGTTGGCTCTAAAGTAGCAGAGACGTCAGAGGTGAGCTCGTGCAGATATTTACCGCAGTGACTGGCAGTAACACAGTGAGCAGAGCTGCTGACCTCAGGTGTAGGGGCAGCCATCAGCCAATCACCAGCTCCGGCTGCAGCCAGACCTTGTGACATCACTGAGGGTTAAACCAGATTAGAAACCGTGTGAATGCCGATGCAAAACAGATTCACGATTAGAATTGCTGTGTGCAGGAAGGAAAGAAAGACATTTTGACAGCAATATTTCAAATACACAGATGTAAGCAAGAGTCACTTTGAGACATTTTAACATTCCCGGTGGTAATTATCGATATCGAATGATATGAATATTTTAAACCAGGATAACATTTTTGTCCATATCGCCCAGCCCTGAACACAAAGTCACATCTGTGCGTTTACCAGGAGGTGGTTGGATTTGTGCTGTTGGCTTATTTGAGGCCGTGCAGACGGTCTGGTTTAAGATGTTGGAGGACACCGTGATGGGAAATCGGTCGACCTCGTCGAGCCAGCCACTGTCAGCTGACTCTCTGATGAAATATGCAAACTTCTTGGCCACCAAATCGTCATTCACACAGATCTGAAAATCAACCAAATCCTGGTCATTCATTTGTCTGTGGATGTCTGGATGTTAAAATGCTCATTTGTAGATAAGTCTTGCAGATCTTGTGCATCATTTTATCTGTATTTATGCATGTTTGAAGCTGCATGAATGTGACTTGCTAATTCCTTCACTGAGGAGTCAAAGTTCACCTTGATGTTTCCCACGGTCAGATAAAGCTCAATAGCGGTGGAGCATGACTCGGATTCAAGCAACACAACCTCCGTCTGGGTCGACGCTGGTGGAAGCAAGAAAACTTTCATAGTGACTCCTCAAGACTACATATGTTTTATCATCAATCTCGCCACGCAACAGTTCAGGGAACATCAAATGCTGCTTCTAAGATATAAAATCTAAAGAAAAAAAAAATCGCCACAGGTGTCACCTTTAAGCAGGTTGTGCAGGTAGAGTGTAGCAGAGCTGTCCCACTGAGAGGATGGACTGCAGAGGAGAATAAAACATTAAGCTTTACACTTCATCTCACAACACAAACACTGTATCTGTAAACCTCAACACAGACATGAAGTGGGTTAGGAAGTCAGTGAAGGATGTGTGCGCTTCAGAGCTTCTAAACTACTTCAGATTTTACATTTTAACAAACTGTAGATAGTAAATATCCTAAGTGGTAAGCGGGGAGTTCATCTTACATGAGCACTGCCTTCTCCTCGTGGACAGACACACGCAGGGTTGTTGGTTTGATTCTCGCCAGGTGGAACCTCCTCACCCAGAAGGGCAGCTTGAGGAATTTTTGCACAGCGACTCGGATTCTTGTCAGACAGAAATAAGAACATAGAAGTTAAATCTTTAACAGGTCAGACACACAATCACAGACACAGGTCGGCTTGGTTTGTTTACCCTGTTAAAATAAGCAATCCGATGTCTTTTAATCAAAGCAGTCTTACTGGACTAATTTAGTAAAATGGCAGTGGTCTTACTGTTCTGAGGGGACAACGAGTCGTTCTCCGTGGTCGACCAGCAAGCAGCGAGCGTGACAGGACCTGGAGTCCATAATGACCGACTCCACCACAGCCCGACACCACGACTTCATCACTGACCAGTACACCACACACACCTGACAGGAAACATTAACTCACACACAACCAATCCAGTTAAAGTGTTCCCGACCGGGATCAGGTGTGTAAGGCAGACTGCGGCTGTCACTTTACCTGTCCCTCCTCCAACGACGTGGGCTTCAGATTGCGATGGTCCTGGGTGACGTCGTGGTAGAAGAGGTTCATCTGAACCAGCAGGTTGTCATACTGCTCTGCTGTATTAGCATCACCGCCACACCCCCAAACAGCCCGACCCCAGATGCAGGACGGGTTCTCCACCTGCACAGGTCAGAAGAAAGAGGCACCACAACATGATCCAATATTACAGATGTGCTCTGTGTGCACATCATTTCCAGTCCTATAATCCTTGCTTTGTTCACGCTCAACCTTTAATAGTAATACAGAAAGGTACTTTGAGGTACTTTATACTTCCACTCCACTGCAATTCAGAGCAGACTCCATTGATTTGGTAATGTTAGTAAACAAATAAAATTCTCACTTAATTGCTAAAAAAACAGAAAGTTACAACAATTATACAATTAATAGTATATAGAATACATAGATGTCACAATTACCAGCTGCAATATTAAAGTAACACACAGATTAACTCATCAATAATCATACAACCTTTACATTCTTCTGAAAAGGGATATTCTGCTAATGACTGCTTTTGGTACTTTAAGTATAATTTAAGTAAACATTTATAGGGGATTATTCAGGTATTAATTCTTTGTTTTACTCTTTTTCCTTAGTAGTTTTGCTTAATAACAAAAACAAGACAAACATGCCACCTACTAGTCAAACATTTAAGCTTCTTTTTAAATATAACGTTACCGGTAACAGTTTTAAAGTCGACAGATTTGCCTGAAGGAAACAAACAGCAGGAACTTTAACTATCCGCGTTATTTATCCGCGTTTATCCTTAACAGCGTTTATCTGAGTTAGCACGCAGCGCTAATTAGCGCCTAAACAGTTAGCTTAACTTAGCGTTAGTGATAATAAAAGCTCACTTAACGTTGACTTACCTTCAAAATCGATATCTTCAGCATCGTCAGTCCACACCGAAGTCTTAAAAACAACACACACTGCAGGAAAACACAAGTTAACACAATTTAAAGTTAGCTAGCTAATTAACGTCGACATGTTCACCTGAGACGGCGCCTAAGCGCGCGAGCTAACGTTACACTGGTTCACTAAAAAACTAACTACATGCCTGGATGAAGCGGAATTTACCGTTCGTTTTATTTGTCTTGCTTCTGTTTGTTTTCCATCTAGTTGAACCGATAAACGTTACCTGTTCCTGAGCTTCTGAACGGGAGAGAAAGTCGGAGTGAAAGACGGAGGGAGTAACGTTACGCCATTTTGTTTGTGACCGTTAGAGGTCGCTGCAGAGACACCGGTGTAACACCAAAATCTGTGACCTGTCAGATTGTGTGACTACACCCAGACGACGATGTCTTCCATAACCTTAACCAAGTACTTCTGGTGCCTAATCCTTTAAAATAGTCCATGGCCGAACCAAACTCCTAACTTCCCATTTGGGTCAGAATCTGACCTTTTAACATGATTTTTACCTTAAACATTTAGATTTTTCTAAGTTAGGGATGGAAAGAGCACTACAATGTTTTACTCAAGTAAAAGTACCGTTACTTTAAAGACATTTTACTGTAAAAAACAAAATTACTCAGAAAACGTTTGATCCACCATTGCAGCAGGCAACCTGTTTGTTTATTTTCTACATTTTCAACATGAATAAATTATTTTTTTCAAGGAAAGACATGCTGGTCGGAGCGTCCCCTGGTGTGAACCATGATGACCTTACACCACAGAGCCCTGATGTCCAAACCAACAATACAGTCTGTTTTCTTTGCAGTAACATCAAGGAAACAGCAGAAAGTGCTTATACACCCCTGAAGGTAGAAGTTTCTCAGTGAACGCAGAAGTTACAGCCGAATGAATCCACTGTGAGAATGTTAGCTTTTAGCACGTTTGCCAGACCCAGCGTGCACCTGTTGGTACATACAGTCTATGGTTGGTTGTGCTCACCAGGTGGTGCCATAGACTGTAATGGCTGGTGCATTTAATCCTTTTTTAAAAAGTCATCTTTATTGCACAAAGCGGGTTACAATTCAGATGTGACTTACAAAGATTTATATATATATATATATATATATATATATATATATATTTAAAAAATCTCCCTCTCATGTGTCATCCTCAAGCTCGGGTCCTCTGCCAGAGGCCTGGGAGTTTGAGGGTTCTGTGCAGTATCACTCTCCCAGTTTGGGGGTCACAGCCCCCAGTGCTCCGATCACCACTGGCACCACTGTTGGTCTTACTTTCCACATCTTTTCTTTTCTAGCTTTCAGCCCTTGGTATTTCTCAAGCTACTCGTGTTCCTTCTTGATGTTGCTATCGCTTGGGATCGCCACATCTATCACTGCAGCCTTGTTTGTTAGCCATCACCAGTTTGGATCTTGAAGTCCCACAGGATCTTAGCTCGGTCATTCTCAACTACCTTAGGAGGTGTCTTCCATTTTGACCTTGGGACTTCCAGCCCATACTCATGGCAGATGTTCCTGTACACTATGCCAGCTACCTGGTTATGGCGTTCCATGTATGCACTTCCTGCCAGCATCTTACACCCTGCTGTTATGTGCTGTACTGTCTCAGGGGCCTCCTTGCACAGTCTGCACCTGGGGCCCTGCCTGGTGTGGTAGACCCCAGCCTCTATTGATCGTACTGTGTGACTGTTCTTGTGCCGCCATGATTTGTGCTTCTGTGCTGTCCTTCAGTCCAGCCTTTTCCAGCCGTATATATATATATATATATATATATATATATATATATATATATATAGTGTCCAGCCTAAGGCCTTTTATTGTAGCCAGCCTAAGGCACACCTGGGCAAAAACAAAAGTGTTGTGTTTATAATTTTGTTCAGTACGATAAAACAACATTACTCTGTGTTTGTCAGACACTGATTTTCAAAGAAAACATATAAATACAATTAAACATTTTCATTGTTGTTCCAACTAACGCAAACTAACTTACCTCACAGCTTATTGCTAAAATATAAGCACAAACTTGCATGGAAGATATCTACACACAATAAACATGATTTAAGTTTGAAGAGTCTAACTACAAAGCAGGCAATGAAAATAAATTACAGGGTGCTACTTTTTCCCACGTGGAGTAAGATCTAAACTGAGAATTTGTTGTATTATCCTGAGTCTTTACGAATTCACCTTCACATCTTTCCTTGACCTCGTCACGTTTTTTATCGAGGTCGAGAAAAGGGGTTAGCAAAGGAAATTTGGCAAAAGAAGATAGAATAAGTACTTAATAATAAATGTATTATAATGTCCCTCCCTTAAATACTGTATATCTTTGCACATGTAAATATTATCTCATTTCACATCAGTGCACATATTTGTTGTTAAGTGTTAATCTTCTATATTTTATATTTTGTCAATTTGCATATTTTTATCATCTGTTTATTCCATACCACCTGTCTTTTCCATATTTATATATTCCTACATTTATTTATTTCAGCTGTATGTTTGTCTACGTGTAGCAACTGATCTCCAAAGCAAATTCCTCCTATGTGTAAAAAAACACTTGGCAATAAAAAATAAAATAAAAAGCTCTTTCTGGTGCTGATTCTTTGTACTTGCAAAATTCCACATTCATAAATGTAAATTCAGCAGTAAAAAACTAACTTTGTACTTTTTCTCTGAGGTTGCGCATTATACCAATTTAATTTCTAAATCCAACAACAAAAAGGCCGTGAATTTTTTAATATCTTCAGCCTATATAACATAGACCACTCCTGCAAAGTGTTAGATATACCTCTCTATGTCCCGTGTAAACTGTATTCCTCTATTTGCAAGTTTAAAAACATTTGGACTTTTCTTTTTTTAATGTAAGTTTCAGGAGTCAGAAAGTACACAGCGGGTCTCCCTCCGGTGAACTACCCCGCGCTGGCCGGTAGGGGGCGGTGTGAGCCCGGTTTAGACGCATGGCAATAATCAATAACAAGAGTTTTAACACTCAATCACACGTACAGTTTTACAGCGTGCAGCGACTACATTTTGATTAATAAGACTTGTGAAAACATACATAATCTGTATCGACACACGCTGCCCTAAGAACAGCTGATATTACGTGTTTCCTCTCTGATGTCTGGCAACCCGGACCAAAGGCTGGCCAGCTGATCGCAGTAAACAGCTTCTGACAGGCTGCTGGAGGTGTTTGTCTCTGCCATGCCCAAGCCCGGATGACCCGAGGGACTCATCGATAACAGGTGAAACGGTCATATTTACTAATAATCGGCCCTGTTGGCTGCCGGTCATGCTCTGGGACTAGCTGGCCATGCTAACACTGAGGTTAGATATCCCGATGCCACAGCTGGACCCAGCAGAGCTAATGCTAGCTCTTATGCTACAGCTTAACAATGCTCTTGTTCCTCGCTAGCAGGCTAATTATAGACGCATCAATGAGGCGATTTCCAAAACTTCCGCTGCCCGGTTCTGATCGGCGGAGTCACATTTAGAAGAATTCACAACTGGGACCAAACTACAGACACGACTGAGGTTGGTTAGCAGTTAGCCGAATAGCCCGAGCTCTTTCCTGCCACCTGTGATGTGCAACTTGGAAACAGCTGTGCCAGTAAACTGAAGCTAACCCCCACACAAAGCCCCGCTTTGACCAAGACGTTGAGCCAAACTACACTCAGTAAAAGTGGAATTTAAGGTTGTCTCGTAAAGTTCCGTACTTGAAAGACAAGCGGTGGACAGTTACCGAGTACATTTACTAGAGCACCGTACTTAAGTATACATAACAGGTATTTGTACTTTACTTGGGTTGGTTAGCAGTTAATTTAGTCGAATAGTTGCCAGCTGTGATGTGCAACTTGGAAACAGTTGTTTTAAAGCTACGTCTGTGCCTTTAAACCCCACACAAAGTCCTGTACTGATGAAAACGTTAAGACAAACTCCATTCAAAAAAAGTCAAATTTAAGGTTGGCTCCTTGAAAGACAAGCACATTTTCCAGTGGCCTTTTATTGTGGCCAGCCTGAGGCCTTTTATTGTGGCCAGCCTAAGTGTGCAGTCCCCATGCTGTCTGATCAGCATCTTGATATGTCACACCTGTGAGGTGGATGGATTATCTCTGCAGAGGAGAAGAGCTCACTGACACAGATTTGTGAACAATATCTGAGAGAAATAGGCCTTTTGTGTACATAGAGAAAGGATCTTGGATCTTTGAGTGTTGCATTTATAATTTTGTTGGCAACTATCTTATTATTACGCTTGTTATGTCAGCAACAACTGATGGTACTTTATACTTGTGATACTTAGGTATTTTTAAAAGCAGGTAATTTTGTTCTTTGTCTCCAGTAGAAATTTAAATTGAAGAGTAAAATTTATCAGCTGTATCTGTACTTTTACTCACGTACAGGATTTGTATACTATTTCTACCAGTGTGAAAGACTCTGATTAAATACTTTATCACACATCGTTTCAAATCGTCATACACTAACAGGCATTACGGTCAAAACAAACAACCCATGAGAGAGAATTGGTTCGCCTGCACCTTGGTTTTTATCACATAATGGGTTGAGGGATGTGCAATGTATACAAACGAAATCAATTGATTCAAGGATAATTCATTTGTCGAATGGACTAAAAGACCGCAGTGATTCCCTAAATGTGTCTCATTGATATTGTTTATGCATTGTACTTGTGTCAATAAGCAAAGAAACATTAAAGTGCCAGGTTTTTAAATGGAGTTTGGTTGGACTTTTCTATGTACAAAACAATTCAGCTGACTTGGAGCTGTAGGCTACCAAACTACACAAATATGAAATAGAGCAGAGGATTCAGTCACTGTGGATGTTTGTATTATAATAACTAAAATTGACCTATATTTTGTCACATGTCACATCACTACAACATGTTGCAAGTTGTCTATAACATTTGACAATGTGCACAGAAATCTCATCCTTATCTCTGTTTAACTAGACACATCCTTTTTTGTCAGCTGTCTTGTGGGTTTTCTGACTGACTCGTAGGCTGTGTTTGTTTTAACGGCTTCACACCTGGTTGTCTGGTTGAGAGATCAGAGGCTGATAAGGTATTTATAGGTCAGAGGTGGGCGGTTAGCTCTGCTGCTTGTTTTTCTGTTCAGCTCTGGAGAGTTGTGTGGTGTCCAGGCGGCATCATGTGTGGCGCCCTGAGGATGTCAGCAGGTTTTAAGCACTCAGCTCCTGAAAGATTTGAATTGATCTAGAGAAGCCCGAAGTCTGGTGTCTTCTTTCATTTGACCCAGTTCATCTGACCTTCCCTGCCATCTGCTCAGTGGATTATTAATCATCATTGTCTTTATTCACAACTACAGCTAACAAACTATATGATTTGTTCATCGGAATCCTGCGTCATGGTATTTTATTATAGAAAACGAATTGTTTATTTAAAAACAAAAAGCTTCACACTTTATTAGCAGCTCTCATGTCTGTTACGACTCACAGTAAACTGTGTACTGTGTAAATAAATTGCAACTGGTGACTATTTTGTAAATAGATTAATAGTTTAAATGATTCTTCCAGCAGGAATGCCAAAGGTTTGCTGGTTCCAGCTTCTCAAATGTCAGATAAGAGAAATGACAGGAGAAGAAATATTTAGAGACTTACTAATGTATTACTAAGAGACAGGAAATGTGCGAGAGAGAGAAAGAGAGAGAGCGACATGCAGCAAAGAGCTGTGGGCTGAAATCGAACCCGGGCTTCTGCGGCAGCACTGAGCCACCTGAGCTAACCAGCACGCCGTCCCACACCTACCTGTAACGCCTACGGGTCTTGACCATGCGTCCATATGTGATGATGTGGAAGTGATATACTCTGATCAGCCATAACATTATGACCACTGACTGGTCTCTCTCTCCAGGGTAGCTGATTGTTCAGGCGCGCAATCCGTATTTGAAGCTCCCCGGAAGTGCAGTCTTGATCCGTACACTTTGATTCAATCACAGCTCAGCTCCTGAAGCTGCGATGAGGCAACTGCTGTGGATGTTTGACCTTTACTCTCCTTTCTGCTGGGTGTTTGCTCATCAGCTGAGTGACTGTAGTTTAATGTGACGGCGTGCTGGGCCGGAGGGCACGGACATTCCTCTGCACCACTAAATACGCTGTTAGATTCAAACTTGTAAGGTCACGAGGACCTCGAGGGTCACGTGACTGCTTCCTCGGTTTCATCCCGCCCGAGCGGCCTCGTGTCAGGAGTGTGCCTCTGCTCGGTTTGTGTGCACTGGAGCTGAGTGAAGATGAAGCTGATCTCTGAGCAGAGTGATGGGGTGAGTGGATCAGCTGTCGGAGCTTTAAAAGAAGTTAATGATGGTCGTTTTGGTTTAGGATTGTGAGTGGACAGAGGAGCTGAAATAGATCAGTCTAGGAGAAAGTAGCTGTTCCAGCTGCTTAACGGACAGAATGACAGATTGCTGTAAAGTTTATAACGATGCCCTCAGGTGCCCTCAGGAATATTCACATTTAAGAAGCTGAAATCAGAGAATTGTGACTTCAAACCAATTAATCAAGAATAGTAGTTGGTGTTTAATTTAAGAGTTGAAAACTAATTCATTAATCGTTGCGGCTTTCACCCACTTTATGGACAAACCTGCTGATTTCTGGGTGGTGATGGTCCAGTGGATAAGATGCCTGCCTTTGGTGTGAGAGACCCGGGTTCAATCCCCCACTGTGTCCCTGAGCGAGACACTTAACCCCTCGTTGCTCCAGAGACGTGCGACCTCTGAAGTATATAGCATTTGTTAGTCGCTTTGGATCAAAGCGTCAGATAAATGAATAAATGTAAATTTCTATGGTCGTGTTTGTAGCCACGATTTCTTTGTGCTTCATTTTTTACCCAAGGAAGGTTAAAATCAAGGCAGCCGTCCTTGTCCTTGGATAATTTATGACTTACTGTGTATTTTATTAACGTGCTGTTTACAGACTTGGTTGTTGCTTCTTGATGGGCAAATGAAATGCTTTTTAAATCGATGTTGGTGTATCTTGAATAGGAATAAAAAGCGTGGCGTTAGTTTTGTAGCCTTGCTAGCAGCACGTCGGTCGGTCCACTTTGGTTCTGAGTGAAATATCACCAACTATTGTCATGTTTGGTTCAGATGTTCATTAAGAGGCATCACAAGCTCAACAAGGTTTTCGCATGATGCAGCAAAGGGCCGAGTCAAACCCGAGCTTCTGCGATAAGTACACGGGGCACGAACACCAAAAGTGAGCTAACCAGGGGCCCAATCATCAGGTCAGCATTTGTCCATCGCTTTGGTTTCTGACCAGATTCCTACAAACTGACATTCCCATCAGCCCCAGCTGTATTTGTTGTTTTCTGCTAATTTGTTAGAATGCTAATACGCTAACTTTGATATTGACAAAATGTGATATTGCGATACTGATCAAGAATATCGTGATAACAATATTCATTTCGATCCTTAAACATATGTGAAGTTGACGGCTCCTGTTTCCAGCTCTGTTGTGTCTCCCTGAGCCGCACTCGTCTTCTTACTTTGCTTTCTTTTCCCTCGCTTCACTCACGCTGCAGACACGTCACGTGGTCAGCTCTTTTTATATGGGTACGCTTCATAGGGTATGTTTGTGTAGCGGACCCATGTCCTCACACTTGCATGTGACAGGGAAACCGGCCGTGCGATAACGATATTGAGTCGATATATTGCGCAACCCTAACGCTAACCCCCACGCGTTGCTGAGCCTTGCTACAACCTCACAGATCTGCTAGCACGGCTGTAGACTTTCAGCTTCGTCCCTTAGTACACTTCCGTGGAGTACGCTGTGGACACTGTGTGCTTATGCTGCGACCTCAAAGCTTTCCAGGTGCATGACGGCTGAATGTGACAATATGATGCTTCAGCAGTGACCGGCTGACCTGCCTGTGGACCGTCCGTGAATGCAGATGTAGTGTAAGAAGTGGTCAAAAAGACTAGAAAGGCGCTATACAAATACAGAGCATTCACTTTCAGAGATTGTTTACTGTAACCAGTTACTTAATAACACTGGCAACATATTTCTCCATCACTTTACATGCAGAACAGGTTTTACTACATGATGGCAGGGCTGGGCCATAATAACAAAAATGTTATACAAAACATTTCACGTTATTCGATATTGATAATTATCAGGATAAATATGTCAAATCATTATTTCTTTCCAGTTTAAAGGCTGATTTTTGCTCCTGAGTGAAATTTGAAGAAGCCAGATGGTTAATTGTGGTTAAACTTTTCTTTATGGCTCGAATGTAACAAACGCTTGATGCCAAACAGTGGATCACTTCACAGCTCTGATGTAGAACATTCATTATGATAAAATCTTTTTTCAGTCCCTTTTCCTCAACAAAATAAATATTTTAATAGAAAAATGAAGTGCTAATTTGTTTGTGATTCAAATGAATTAAACCAAATATTAATTGACGATATATGATCATTAATTAAATTGCGATAATTATTATTATTATTTTATTGCCCAGCCCTGCATGATGAGAGCATATATTATTTTAATTAATTACAGGTAAATATACTTTATGTCCCATTTTAGTTTATGGTCTGCCATTTACAGCGTGTGCTTCCATGAGAGCTGCTACTGTGAGACGTCTTTCAGCTGCTTCCTGTGAAGTCGGGGTACATTTTCGTTTCCCTGAGTTGAACTTCAAATTCAAGTGGTGTTACGTGGTACGATTTTTAGGTGGATGTCACGAATGTCTGAGTTGCCTGGAATTAGAGCTGGGCAATTAAACAAAAATGATAATTATTTTCCTCAATAAATGTTTGATTTAATAAATTTGAATCACAAACGAATTAGCACTTCATTTTTCTATTAAGATATTTATTTTGTTGAGGAAAAGGGAACGAATCAGATCTTGTTGTTGTCTTCTCTGTTTGGCATCACGTGTTTGTTCTGACCATAAAGAAAAGTTTAAAACCACCATTAACCATCTGGTTTCTTCAACTGTCACTCAGGAGCAAAAATCAGCCTTAAAACTCGAGAGAAATAATGATTTGACATTTATCCTGATAATTATCCATATCAAATGATGTGAAGTTTTTTATCGTGATAATGTTTTCTGACTTATTGATTGACTGGTTTATCAGTTAAAATGATAATAAAAGTGAAAGAGCATTAAATATACAGTATATATGGGAACACCGAAGGGTAAAGAACACACCGCCTGCACAACACGTCCAGATGGAAGAAACCCGCGGTCAGTTTCCTGCAGTAACACACAAAGACATTTGGCTTGTGACTGTCCGGCTGCGTGAAAGTGAGAATTTCACTTGCTGGAAAAACAATGACAAATTTTGGTAAACTCATGACCATGATCCATTAAAGAAATCCTACCTGTTTCCCCCTTTATCTGATAATTCATTTATAAAGTTCGATTTTTAAATGACGCTAAACGTTGTGAATGGGATACTTCAGACATTGGTCTCACCGTTTAAGAGATAATCCGGGGTTGAGTGAGGTTATCGTCTGTCCGCACAGCGAGTTGTCCTGGGTAACAGATTTCCTCCCAAAACGAAGGATAAGTTGAATTTAATTAACATCATTCAGTGACATTTGAAATATTTGAGAGCTGCCCGAATGTTTGTGAATTATAAAAGGAAAGTTGGCCAAGTCTGACAGTGTGGAGCTGAACGCACAAGTCTTAATATGGCCACCGTACACGCTTGAGCCTTTCGATTAAGCGAACAGCATGACCTTGAATAAAACAAATAATGAAACACTGTTTTGCAGCTCAGCCTGAGGCCAGTCACAGCTGACAGATCACACATTTCCTGTCTCGAGGACAGATATCGTACTGTGATCCAGATCCTGAGGTCATCTTCATTAAATCTCCTCTTAAAATCACTCCTGAAGATGGAAGAAAAGTCCCTGAGATGTAATAATGCAGTGGAGAAGAGAGCTTGATCTCTAACGTGGTTGTTGTGGGGAGGATAGCGGGACCCTGCGCACATTAAGACGGGGTGGTTATCCGTCTCTGCAGGACTGAAAGAATTCAACAGTAGGAAGATAACACTAACTCTATCTGGAGAACTGAAAGGCAGGTTTTGTCTGGTAGCCTCAACCTCATTTACTGATTCGAACAAAGTGGATAATATTATTATATTGAATATTATTCATGTATTTGGGCTTAAAGGGATAAATTTGGAGACATGAAAGAATGAGAATTGATTATTGAGAGGAAGCTCTTCAACAGATCTTCTATTTGTTTGGAAACTCGGCAGACACTGTCGTGGATGTTTGTGGTTCTGCTGAAAATGGCAGCGATGGTCTGACTTTGTCTTCTGCACCATCCTGAGGCAGAGTTTTGTACTTTTGAGTTAAATGTAATGAAACTATTGGGTGGATTGACGTGACAGTTGGAGGAGAAATGATCCCCTCACGATGACTTTTAATAACTTTGATGGATCGCTTAGCTTTTCATCCATCACCGTCATCAGGTCTCTTCTTTCTTTTAAACTTTGGGTTCCTGTTCCAAATGACATCTACTCAGATATAAGAACGTTGGATCTTTAGCAACCATCATACACGGCTAAATGTTTGTTCCAGTTTCCCCACAGTTACTGTACAATATGTTATAATCGATGTAGTTCAGACACCATTGCTCAAAGTCCTTCTTACAGCTCACTAAGCAAACGCCATGTTCCCATCAGAGCCTCCCAGACAGCGGCCCTTGAAGCGTTGTTTAATCATGCTAATCAGTTCCTTCCATTATCCTCTCCAGGATCCAGACTTCCAGCTCCTTATGGCTGTGTATGATGAGAACATCCTGAAGAACCCTTTCTACTTGGCGTTGGAGAAGCAGAGACCGGACCTCTGCAGCCGAGTGGCAGAGCTCCACGGCATTGTGAGTCCCACCCGTCGTCTCCTTTTGGTTGTTAAACCAGCCTGTTTGTGTCAGAAGCACAGAGGACGCTCTCAGCGTGGTCTGACAGCCACGACTGAAAATCACGGCGTTCATGAACAAGTTCAGAAGAACGTGTCTACAGTTAATGGATCATCTATCTGCAGCAAGTCTTTTTCACAGAAATGGACTGAGAATCAAATTTACAATGGTCTAAAGGTTAAGTTGAGCCGTGAGCATAATCCAATCCCTGATTGCCCAGCAGCACCTTCCAGGCGTGTAATTATGTTTGAACAAAGCAGGGCGCATCCAGAAAAGACATTTCTGCTCAGTGAACCAACATTAGTGCCTAAATAAACGTTAAAAAAGCCTAAAGTAGTCTTGTATTGTATTTGGGAAATGTCCAACTAAATCAAAGCAAACATCTCATTAGTAATGGTGGGTAGAATTAATTAATGGACACGTCTGTCACAGTCCAGTAATGGCAAACAAATTATTATTAGTTTGATATTACCACTGGAATTGGGACTAATGGAGTTGCACTTAGAGTCAAGAGAAAGATGAATAAAAACAAAACAGGGTGAGCAAATGTTAAAGTAGTGCGACGTTGCTGTGAGAGAAGCTGTTATTGCAGCCCACTTCATCAGGATTTAGTGCAGAGCTACAGTTCATCTGAAGTCCAGTTTATAGTCTGTGTTACTCTCAAATTTAGCGTTGTCTCTCAGCTTCTTTCACTTTGCCTGGATTGCACTGTAACTTAGCAAAGCAAGCTGTCTGATGAAAGTCTGTGTCTGTTACAGGGGTGCGGGGGTGTCGTCCACTGTGTTGTGCTCAGTTTTTCTCCTCTCTTTGCTGCCAATGCTAAAAAATCTGTGCACGTTGGTGGAGACGTTAGCCGTGTTGTTGGGTGTCAAGTCTTAACCTGCCATCCTTCAGTCTTCCAGATTTTATTTAGCGACCATCTATTTTAGGTGACCTGGCTGTGGTGACCGTCGAACCCGGAGCAGCTGTGAGCAGACAGCACAAATGTTTCCCTTCCAGCAAAACTCTACAGCACCTGATTTCACCCGTCACGTCATCCTCTATCGCTAAATCTGCTGCTTAGAATTTCTTAGTATTAGTATTCCATGTGTAAAGAAATAATTTCTGTTTCGTGTTTGGGTAAATTGGTGAGCTAAAGTAAGCCAAAGGTGAGAATCAGGGCCTCTCCAGTGCTCTAGGACAGACTCTGTCTCTCCTCTGCTGAGTTGATAGTGTTGAACATTTGTTAGGTGTAACTCGAGTCCGAGAGTATCTTTATTTTCTTTCAGTGCAGACAGGCTAACTGTCTTCAGGTAGAAAGTGTTTAAAGTGTTCGTGGCTTAAGGACTTGAGCCGATAGACTCCTCACACCTGTGTAATAGAGGGGTAAACAATAACCTTATTTGGACACTTTGTGAATCTCTGTAGATGTAGGAAGGATAATTATCCCCAGACAGGAAGTAACCTTCAGATTTGGTGTTTGCTTTCTGTGTTCACACTTTATCTGCTCGGGTCTCATTAAACCAGGCAGTGCAGCCTGAGTCTTCATCGGTCTACGAAACGTCCTCATCACACCTGAACCTGGCTCGCGGTATTTTCTTTACCACCGGGGATCTTGGTTCAGTCTCTACATGTGGACTGACGGCTTCCTTAGTAAAACGGTTAAACGAATGCGTCAGATCAGGAGACGGGCGACAAGCTCGACTCGTTTTTTAAAGTAAACCTACATGTTTAGCTGTCGGACCACTTCCTGTCTTGAGAGAGGGTCGAGCCGTCACTTCGGGGCTTCAAAGCGTGAGGGATAAATGAGTTTTTCCAGTCAGCTCAGTCAGCGAGAAAATGGACTATCAAATGACCTAAACGACTGCATAATTGCTCTCTAAACCCTGTTGTAGCTTGTCAAGACGCCTGATAAGGATTAGATGTTCGAAAGGCAGTCAGCAGCAGCTCTGACTCAGCAGGTCTCCTCTGGAAAGTCAGATGATCTGAGTGCGGTCAAAACATCAGCATGGAAACACTCGTAACTGGATTAGAGCTTCTAATGAGCATTTGACAGCAGACTGCTGACCTGGCAAATCAGCTCTACAAGACGCAACAAAAAGACAGGCATACTGTCGCATCCTGCTTTCACAAGCTTTTCTGGCTCATGATCTTTGATCTTTTGTGTTCTAGTTTCAAGAGTATGAAAGGAAGTCTGGATGGCGTGCACGGATTAGCATTAAGCAGAGATGAGGCTGTCATTATTCATTAGTTCTGCATGTATTTCCTCATGAACCAAAATGTTGGACCTGATGATGAGGGCGGTCGATGAAAAGTCACCAGAGTTTGGTACGGTTCATCCTGAGGGGAACATGAACGTCTGAACCACATTTCATCACCATCCCTCCAACAGCTGTGGAGAGCTCCACTCAAAACCACAAACATTAAGCTCATGGTGGCACCAGAGGAAAGGTCAGAGGATCGTAGGCTCTGTGGACATCTCTCTCCAACAGCTCTGCATCCCTGCAGATCTCTCAACACCTACATATCAAGCAAACACAACACATAAAGTCACAAACTAGGAAACAAATGAGAAGGAGCGGATGCAGTGTGGTGGCTCGGGTTAAATATGTGTTGACTGGTTAATGAATTGAGTGTAAGAGTCGAATGTTTTTCTGTCCCCTGCAGGTTCTGGTGCCTTGTTGTGGAAGTTTGAGCGTCAGCAGCTCCTCAGACTCTCGGTTCGACAGCTACGTCCTGCAGCCTGTGGAGGATGGATACCGGACTGTGGATGGAAAGGTTCGTCTGGTTTCACTTTATAGACATCATCAGAGGCACTTTAAACTCTGAGTCCAGGAAAAATAAGTCTTCTGTCAGAACACAGGATAACACAACTCGGAACCTTTCCTGTCATGAAGATAGATAATAGATTTAAAACAACTTATTGTTGTTATTTTCAGTAGAGTCTGAATAAACGCATGTTGCTTTTGTTGGCTGCTCCAACTCCTAAAACTGAAACTAAAACAAGAGGCTCCAATTGGCTGTTCCAAAATCGTAATTAAATTCAAAATCTTTCTGTTTCTTTTTGGCCGTTGAGCTTTAAAAAATAATAAGCTTCTACTGGTGTGAATGAACCGGCGGTTTACATTACGAGCTCAGACTACTTGACCTTGAGAGTGGCAGCTCGACACAGCAGCTCCCTCAATCTAGTTTTGGCCTTTTTGTACTTGTACATTTGAGTTTTTCTACTTTTCAATATATTTAACACATTTTTTAAAATTTATTTAGTAAATAGGACTTTCTTGAATTTCCCCGATGGGGGTTTATAAAGGAACTATTTATTTTATGTCACATTATTAAAGTGAGGCTGGGAAACATCAGTATTTGTCTCACAGCATGATACTTCTGCATCTGAGCCACAGAGCGCCATTGTTCACATTGTTCAGTCAACGAGCTGGTTGAATTAAAACCACAGTGACCTGCTGTTTTAGGAAATTACTGAGCCTTTTTAAAACTGAAACTATATATGTGTGATTTTAAGGATATAAGTGTCCAGTAGGAACCTTCAGGCTTCGGGATCAGAGCCATCGACAGGAAGTCTGTCAGGACTGAGAGATGGACACGCCTGCTTTTGGTCTTTACAGTATATTTGGTTACTTTACCTTCACTTAATAAATACTGTGCGCCTGTTCACCAGAGCTGTTGGTCGGGTTATGTGTTGCAGGAGGTCAGGATCCAGGACAGGCAGGTCCTGCTGGGATCCGGCTTCCCGGCTCCGGCGTCCATCCCCATCCTGTTTGAGGAAACCTTCTACAACGACCAGGAGCAGAGCTACAGCATGCTGTGCATCTCCAGGCCCGTCGAGGTGGACCCGAGCCCGGAGGAGCTCGGCCCGCCGCCACCCTACTGTCTGAAGAGCCTGGAGGACGTCAGGGAGTTCCTGGGTCGCCACGCCCAGAAACTGGACAAATTCATCCAGGGCTTCTGTCAGACCTTCAAAGAGCAGGAGAGGAAGGGACTCCGACACCACATCGTAGGACTAATCCTCTTTTCCTCATTCTTCCTTCCTCTTCTTCACCGTGCACGTCCCTTCTACTTCATTCCTTTTTAATTGCTCAAGTTTTTGTGTTTTGTTTTTCTAAACTAATTTATCAATAATCTTTAGAAATGCAGGAGCAGTTTGGCTTAGGTGTTTGAGAAAAGGCATAAAGCAAATCATTTTACTGAAGAATTCAAATGCGCATAGCTTTTGTGGAAAAGAGTTTCAATTAATAATTACTTAAAGGTCTTTGTTGAAAAATTAGCTAGATATCTTGTTAGGGTGTATTTTACAGTGATTATAACTGGAAGAGTCGAATCTTGAAAGTTGACTTTTGGTCAGCAGAGAGCTTCCCTGCAGGACTGACTGTCCTTCTGTCCTCTCTCCACTCAGGACTCGGTGAACGGCCTTTACACTAAATGTCTTCAGTGTCTGCTGAGAGACTCTCGCCTGGTAAGTAGAATCTGTCGGTCTGATGGAGATAACGAAAGGTGCTGGGTTTATTGACTGTGTCTCAGTTTGGGTGCAGGTCACATTCGGAAACCCTGCATTTCCGAATGTGACATAATTGGTCAACTAGGTATAAAAATGTAAAGCAGCTTTTCCTTTTGGAGGACATGACTGGGATCCTTTGCAACCCTCATGATCCACTTGTACCTGCCAGTTGTCTAAAGCATCATTTCCATTCTTTACATTTCTGGGATCTTGAGATTGAAACTATGTGTGTATCTACTAAGTTAATGCAAAATCCCATTTTCCCACTGCAAGAAACAAAGAGGGGCTTTTATACAAAAGAAAGACTTTCTCTTTGGGAGTCAGACTGCTGAAGCCTCATATTAACTTCAGATAAAGTTTTATTCCTTTTTTTACCTATCTTTGCACAAAACAACAAATGTAGATTTTGCCATTGAGAGCACATTAAGAAGGCATCTCCTCAAGGCCCGTCCGAACAGGAGGCTAGCAGAGCGTCTTGCAGTGTTCTCGTGAGCGCCCATCGACTGCTTTACTTTTACACCTGGGCCCTATTTTCACATATTTATTGGCTGGAAGTGACATGTTTATTTTTTACCATTAGCTTGTCACACAGTTGTCTATCATGTACTGCAGTTCAACATCACGACTCATTCAGCACTGATATTTACACCATCTGAGGTCCTCTGAGTTTCAGTCTGCTCTTCACCCTCGAAACACAGACAGCATGTAGATCAGTGATACTACTTATGTCTCGTTAGGCCCTCTGGGGTCAAATAAAAGAATCTATGTCCCAACAGATTTATCTCAGTTGTATTCCTAATCATAGAAGCAGGAGGACTTGCGTTGCTTCCTGTGCGGTGACTAATGCATTTCAATGGATTCACTGGAATGTGTTACTTTTTTCTGCAGAGACTTCTGGCGAAGCAGGAGCTTCAGATGACTCTTCTCAAACAGGCAGTAGAGGTAACCTCCCTCGGTGTTTCTACATATCACACTCCAGTTCCTGTAAAGAATTTAAGTTTCTAAAGCACATTACATGAAAAACAGATCTCAGCGCTCACTAACAGACAGATAAAATCATTAATAACACCACGACAGAGCCTGTGGGGCACGTGGCAATGTGAGACGGGATGACGGCTCGGCTCCTGGACGTGCTCACTGCGGCGTTCCCGAGAAACGCTCCTCCGATCGACTTCACACTGCGCCTCCCTCAGGCCCTCAGGCCCTCAGCAACACACCTGCCCAGTGTGAACTCGATCGGATCAGCTGTTCTCGAGATACTTTATGCGAAAGACAGAAAGATAGAGATTCTTTCCTTTTGTAGGTAGATGACGCTGATACAGCGCCACCTTTTGGCCAAATGTGTCTTTGGCACACAGACGTTATTGTAATAAAAAAGCCCTGCCCACAATATTAAGCAAAGGTTGAGGGCCAGCTACAGCAAACCTCTGTCCAGCTTGGTACAGAGATGGTCTCTGCCAGTTACGGTGACGATTGCTCAAACTTTGTAGGAGGAGTAGCGAAAAACAGATTGGGACAAATTGAAAATTGGGAGAAATCGATGTAGATGCAAATGTGCGAGGCTGATGTGGACAGAGCGTCTGTCTCCATTAGGTCCTCAGCAATACACCTGCCAAGTTTGATTGGATAAACGTTTGTCAAGACAATCGAAGGACAGACTCATAGACCGGCAGAGATTCTTTCCTTTATAGTTAGATTAAAGTAGTATCATGTAAGAGAACTTTGTAATAACAGTAATAATCTTTATCTGTAGAGCACTTTTCAAAAACAAGTGGGTGTAAAAAATACACGATAAAAGCAAGAAAACACTTGAGAGACTAAAATACACGTTTAAAATAAATATAAAATATATATAGAATCAAATAAAGTTGGGAAAGGCTCTCCTATAAAAGTACGTTATAAGAGGAGACGTAAAAGAGTTCACTGACTCCTGATTTACTCGGGCAGGCTGTTGCAGAGCCTCGGGGCCCTTTTAGTTTAAGTGGAGACTCTGGAACAGACAACAGACCTCTGCCTGAGGATCTCAAGGTACGTGCTGGTGCGTATGGGACTAAAAGGTCAGAAATATAACAAGGCGAGAGGCCATGAAGAGCTTTAAAAGTGATCAATAGAATTTTAAAGTCAATTCTAAAACATACTGGGAGCCAGTGTAATGAAGCTAAAATAGGAGTAATGTGGTCATATTTCTTTGTTCTGGTTAAAAGCCTGGCAGCTGAGTTCTGGACAGTCTGGAGTCCATCAATAGATTTTTGGGTTAAACAGGTGAAAAGGCTGTTGCAATAATCCAGGCGTGATGAAATAAAGGTGTGTAAGATGGTCTCAGTGATATATTTCTAAGCTGATAAAAACATGATTGCACTAGCTTTGTGGTGTTCTGAAGCTCACTAAAGGCCGATGAAGGCTGCAGAGATGAGCTCATTGTTTATCATAGGTTTTTTGGTGGTTTTCGCTCTGAATGGCTCTTAAATGAAGTCTAAAACAAACAAACCTGTTGCTCATATTCTTATCTTTATAGTCAGTCTTTTAAATTTCCTCTACTCCGATAGAATAATTAAGTTGTGGTCAAAACGGCCTGCGTCTGACCTAAGGCCCCTAATCAGATTCTGTCATGCGACTCACTTAAAGCTGGTGCTGTTTTCGGATTCTCTTTCTCGAAGCCGCTGTGTAAACTGAAATGTGTTTTCTTCTCATCGCAGATGTATGTTCATCATGGTATCCATGATTTAATTTTTAACTTTGTGGGAACGCTGGAAGCCAGCCAGGTAGGTTTGAAACACCATACTGAAATCCTCTGTGATGGAAATATGTTCTTTACAGATGAAACAATATGCATATTTTCTCACATCTTGTGGGATCTAGCCATGGAGATAATTTTGGTTTTATCTGTCATACAATGGACATGATTTTAGTATTTAGGGCGCCTCAACATTTTAAAAGCTTTAAAGAAACTTTTATTTCCTGAAACAGTGTTGTGATTGCTCTGGATACAGTTTTCACTACTTCCTGCTAAAGAAGTATTTAATGTTTGCCAGTAAAGCCCCGTTTACACGTGGGAGAAATCCATCAGACAGGAAGAAGCAGAGCAAATGCTGCAGACCAGAATACAATGGGGAACAACCGCTGGGATTGTTGCTCTCTAACAACTCATCTCTCACGGCCGAAAGATGAAAGCTGCTTCAGAAATGATAGTGCAGTACATGAAAACATAAAATCACTCCCGGGTGTATCACGTACTCGGTGTGATGTCAGATTGCTGCATGTTTCACATTTGTCGCTCTTTGATTTTGGCGTAACGAGAACTCAGAGTGTTTTGATGTGTGTCTGATCTCGTGTCTGTTCTGTTCTGCCACTCTGTCAACAGGACGCTGCCTTCAACAAAACCAGCAGGAGTCTGCAGGACCTGCAGCAGAAAGACCTGGGAGTCAAACCTGAGTTCAGGTCAGTTCAACATGTTGCAGCTGTGGAGCCGTTTAAAAAACTGTGTCTGATTGGATCAGACTTGATGCATCGTATGTTTACGTTCCACTTTCACTTACTGCACTATGGTGGTTGCTATAAAGGTCCAACAACAAGCAAACATTTGATAGTATAAAATAGATTTGTTTTATTTAAATCTTCAGATTTCAGAGTGACTACAAACACACCAGCTGAATTATCGTTTGATAATGTGACTCTAAAAAAGCCAATAAACACAAGTGTCAATGTCAAGTCGCTCTGCAACCGGTGGCCACCTGGAAGGAAGGAAGTCAATATTACAACTGATAAGCTATTTGGAAAACAGTCGGCTGTAACGGAAAGTACAAATGATTTGTAGTTAAATGTCTAAGATATTCATAAACAGCGGATACGTCTTAAAATAAATATAAATGTCAGTTATAAATGACCATATATTTACCATGTTTTTATCAGAATGAAAAATAGACACTGTACATAGTTTAGCTTAAATTTCTTGACATTGGAAACAGCAGTTGGACAAAATGTTCTTTAACTTACTGGTGTTTTCCAGAGCATTCAGCCACATTGCTTGGACTTCACCAGCGGATGGAGTTTAGTTGTCATCACGTGTTCAAACTCTGTAGACACATTATCATTCCCCTAAACCTCAGTGACACGTTTCACTCTTCTCTGTGTTGATTATTGTTGCTCTGCTCACTGTAAGAACCTTTCCGACTGAAGAGCAGCTTTATGTTTTTGCTGTTGTCGTGTTTCCGCAGTATAAACTTGTCTCGGGCAAAGAGAGAGCTAAGTCAGCTCAACCAGCACACCTCCCCGCTCCTCAAACTGCTTTGCCTACGCAGAGTGGCCCTGACCGCCATCCAGACCCCCAGACGCACCGGTAGGACACGACTGTGGCCGTCACTCACTGTGTTCTCTCCAGTTCTTCAGATTTCTCATAAATAAATAAGTTTTGCTGATAAATTGGTTAAGTTCAAAGTAGAATGTAGTTTGTTGAGCTGAGTGAATCAGTTAGAAAATACTGCTAACAAAGGCCTGAGCTCTCCTCCGCTTCTCTTTATCTCAGGTTTATCTTCTGTTATTGGTCCATTTATTACAGTTATTATGTGGATTCAGCTCGTCAGCTAGTAAGTGTGAGTCAGCCGGTCACCTCTCAGAGCAGGCATACAGAACTGTCCACGATCTGCGAGCGTCCTCTCACTGTCTGTAATCAGATCAGCACACAGGACAATACCTGCTCTGTGGGCCTCTAATGTGTTTGTCCAGTTTGCTTTGGAAATCCAAACTCATTGCCCCACAACAGCCCCGCAGTCAGTCTGCAGAGTGCTACCATTAATGTTTGCCATGCAGCCACTTTAGTCATTTGGTTTGGACAGAGGGAGAGTGTCTGGCAGCGTCGGGACTTCAGGTGTTATTTTTGTGCGTTTCCTGTGTTGGTGTTTTCAGTGTTTCGCCTGACTGACTGACTGTGTGTGTGTGTGTGTGTCTTCCTCTGCAGTCAGTATAGAGGCTGTTTGTGCGGACGACCTGCTGTCTGTCACACTCTATCTGCTGGTGAAGACAGAAATCCCCAACTGGTGAGCAGGGAGGGGGATTCGCTGTGGGCCTCTGACCTTGTGGTTTGTGTGGAAGAAACCAAGACGCTGATCCGTCATTTCTGGTGTGATTTTCATCAGCCACCTGGAGGGAAAGTGAAAGTGAACACTAAGGCTGTGTAATGTATTGCATACCGCCTACTATACAGGATATTATGCAGAAACCAACACAATGGAGTTACACTGAAGCTCAGACACAAAAGAGATCCAATGCGTTTTGGGGCGGTGAGCATGTCCAATAAGCTCATGACGCATACTCAGAAATTCCTTTATCGTGTACACATCTGGGCATTCCCCACTTACACAATATTGTCATACAATGCAGTTGGAACGCACTACAAATAGTGCTTTACCATGAGAGAGTCCTCAGACAGGCTGGGAGCCCTGTGAGGATGAGCTAAACGCTAACGCATCTTAATTTAGCATGTCAACATGATAACATTTGATAATTAGCACTAAATGTTAAGTACAGCTGAGGCTGATGGGAATGTCATTAGTTCTGCAGGTATTTGGTCATAAAGCAAAGTAGTGGACACGTTAAAATGTTGACCCGATGATGGCGCTAGTTTAAAAGCATCATCGACGTTACCACATTTCATCCTGAGGGGAAGATGAATGTTTGAACCGTCTCATCACTCATAAGTAGTGGACCGTCAGGTTCCAATGCTGCTAGCATGACTTACGCTGCCGCGGAGTTCGCGCTGTTAAATTCACTGTCAGCCAAGATAATGACAGCATAGGCCATGTTTTAACCAATAACAGCAGGAAAAGGGGACGTCCAAATGAAATAAGATACTCCGACCCTGCACACAAGCAGACTCCATCAGAGGGGCGATGCGAACCCTGTAACAGACGGCTTTAGTTATGTATGCATGGTTTGGCAATGTCGCTCAGTAGATCCAACTCTTTGGTTCTCGGACTCGACCGCATTTGTACTCGGTCTTGTCTCGGTCTCGGACCTTGAGGACTCTGGATTTTATTTCAAGACCATAACTTTGGGAATATCAATAAATTGCTCATTTATTGTTAACATCCTGACTTTCATTGGATGTAAAACTTATTGCTTCAAATGCAACCGATAACCCTAATTAAAAATGTGCTGTCATCTTGACTACAACACTACTGGATAGATTAATGATCTCCAAGGACGGAGCCCACTGACTTTAA